CAACCAAAAAAGAGAAACACATGTCTTTTGCAGCAACTTGGATGGAGCTGGAAAAGATCATGCTTAGTGAGATAAGCCAGAAAGAGGAAGAAAAATACCGGATGGTTTCACTCATAGCAGGAGTATAATGGACCAGGTGAGAAAATAACAAAAATAATGAACCATATACCAGAGACATTTTGTGGGGGTGGAGTGGGGAATGGGATGAAAAACGGGGGTGGGGGGAGAGAAATGCACGGGATCATGGTGATGGCACACGGGTGACTTGGTGATGGGAAACCCGTGGGGATTACAGTCGAGATGGAAAAAAAAATGTACAAAATGATGTAAAAATAAACTTTTGTAATAATAAAAAAAAAAAAAAACAATGTCAATGCCTGGGCCCCCTCTGAGTTCAGAGTAGCTCCCCAGTGGAGATCTCACATTTAAATGGTACCAGAATATCCTGGAGAACTTGCTGGAAGGGGCAGGCCCCTTTCCTCTCAGGACATCTATGCTCTGTGATCCGCAAGCGCTTCCAGTGACTGTCCTCTGTGATATGCACCAACATTTGAGATTGGAGTGGGCCCTGACTCTGCATTTCTCTTTGACTTTTCTGGGGGCCTCTAACAGGTAGCCAAGTTTAAGAACACAAAACTAAGAGTGAACTGCTAAAGAAGCTGAGGAAACCCCATCTCTCTGAAGAGGACAGTGCGTTGATGCAGACCCTGTTTGCAGTGTGATGGGATGATAGGAAGAGAAAACTGCATCATGATCTGCTCCATTAACCTGAAGAAAACAAAACTGAATGGAGCCCACAAAGAGCTCACAAAGAGATACCTGGGGCAACTCAGCGTTTGGCCAACTCAAATAGAATCTCCCCTTAAAACGCACTTTGTGTAGGGGCCTCCCTGGCGATGCAGAGGTTAAAGTCTCTGCACTATCAAGCTATCATCAGCCACTGTGGCCTGAGTTCGATCCCCAGACAGGGAGGTGACCCACATGGCACAGCAGACCTCTCCTGTCTCGCACACTGCTCCCCTCAGCAACGTACTTTGTCTGTCTGTTCTGCTCCCCACTTTGTCTCTGGTGAATCATCTCACCGACTACAGCCCAGTCTTACATGCATAAATTTAAAAACTAAATCTTAAATGAAAATGCACTTGTATGTAGACCCTTCTCTATGTAAAATAAATGGCATACCCCTCATCCCTACCACCCAGCTCCCTGAGCTCTGACATCAGCTTATCCACCACTTTTTTGATAATTAACTGTGCTTCTCAGGATTCCGGGCACAAGCATCTTACAGAGAAGAAGAAGGGAAGCATAATTGTCAAGTACCAACTAAGAATGGAGCGTCTGTCACCCCCTAGGAAGCTGACATGCGTCAGTCTACCCTGTGTTTGAATAGGCACGAACGCTCACCTAGTGAGGCATAAACAATGTAAGCTTTGTATGGGCAGGGAGTTTTGTTTATCTTTTTCTATGCTGCATCCTTAGTATCGAGGGCAGTGCCTGGTCATGAAAACATTCAAGAAATCTTGGACCCCTCCTTCCCCCACTTTCTCTATCTCACTCTGCCTTCCACAAAGAACCCCCAGTGTAGGAATAAGTGTTGATCAGCAAACAGGTGAAAATAATCTGCTATTTCAAGATGGCCCCAACACAGCCTCCGAGTAAACCCCTAGCCAGTGCAGAAGCATCATTTCTCCCCACTAGAATGCCTCTTCAAGAAGACACAGATGACAATAAATAAATGCAGCTGGCAAGCTCAGCCAGAAGGCAAAGCTCCTGGGGCCTGTGGGTTTCCTCTGAGAGTTCTGGGATTTCTGGTTGCTGTTCACAATTCTCCATGTATGGACATCAACAATCACTGTCAGAGGAAACTTATTCTTCCACTCTGTCTATGACTCAAGGAGGCACAACAATCCTGGGTCCAATTCCAGTTCCATCATTAATGAGTTAGGTGTCAGCAGGCAAATGACTCAATCTCTCTGGGTCTCATTATTTTAATTAAGAAGTGTTCCAAGCTATGAAGGAGAGCAACTTGAGAAGTCCTTGAGACCATTGCACAAAATAATGTTTTCCTCGGCCCTCCCTGGTGGCGCAGCAGGTTAAAGCACAGTACTAAGAAGCTAGAGCCACTTCGCATGAGTTCGATCCCTGCCTGCCCTGGAGGTGACCACATGGCACAGCATGCCCGCTGCTCCCCTCAGCAGTGTACTTCGACGATCTGCCTGTTCTGCTCCCCACTCTGTCTCTGGTGAATCCTCTCACTGCCCCTGCACCTCTGGCCTGTACCCCATTTCTGTATGCATAAATGAATAAATTTTTAAAAACAAATAATGTTTTCCTCACTCACTTCCGTAAGAATGGGCTTCGAAGGTAATTTGGAAGTTGCAGAATAGGAAACCATAAAAGAAGTGATGTTTTCCCAATCCTTAGTGCAGAAACCCATTCTCCTCTGACTCTGGCACAAAGCAGACAGCAGAAAGACCCAGGAATTTTCCAAGAGGCCTAACTCTTACCCCTATCAAGGGGAATGTGGCATTTCATTTCTTCCACAAATATTTACTGAACACTTATTACATGCATGGCCTTGTGGGGAGGAACCCATAATCTTCCTCTCTGATCTAACATCTTCTAGAGTCAGTCCCTCAGGGATTAGCATTATGTTCCTACGCAGATCCCACAAAGAGGCCAGAGGCAGACCCTGCACAACAGCACCTGGGAGTCACACGTCAGTGCTCCCTTCCCCCACAGCAATATGATTCATGAAGCAGCCTCATGCCCAGAAAATTTATGAGCCTGCAGATGCTTCCCAGAGCCTTATATAATTTTTCACAGGGCTGTGTCTCATACTTGATGAAAAGCCAAATGAAAAAAAAAATTTTAAGCAAATGTTTTCCAACAATATATTCTTCTTAGTGAAAGAAAGGTTAATACTGAAGTATAATTAAATGCCAATACTCAGAAAGCAGTGGTCTATTTCTGTATATATTGGTCAGAAGTAAAAATTTACACAATACAAAATAACAGGGCCTAAAACACTAGATAAACAGGACATGAAACAAGGCCTCTTGAATAGGACATAAGCTATGATTTGTTGTGGGTTAATAAATGAGAAATTTAAGTTAGGAAAGAAAATAAAATTCTAGGTACACCTAAATTCCAAGCAATCTGATGTTTTTTAGTTCCTCTGGACAGAACCTACTTGGAAAATTCCAAAGACTTTTGTGATATCAGTGGAGATTAGGAGAACATTAATGCAATGAATGGGTGGTGCCTGCTAGGCCTGCCGGAATCACATTAGCAAAAAGAACACAAAAGCCAAGTAAACACTGAATCAATTTGCTCAGAAGCTGATTTATGAGCAAAGTTAGCAAATAAGAAAAACCCCAAGAAAGAAAAAATGAATTTGGAATACAATGTAGCTGTTAAAAATATCTGTTAGCATAGAAAATTGTTCACAACAAATTAAATAAAGAGAAATTACAATGAAATATATAGAGAGAGTATCTCATTTTTGCCAATTTATTAACAGAGGAAGATATCTATATTTCCTTCTGCCTACACAGATTCACATATACGCAAAAGTATAATAGTATATTCACTCCATTACTGTGTTAATTGTATATTGTGAATAGTATATTCACTCCATGACGTTGTTCCTGCTGCTCCTATACCAAATTACCACAAACTTGGTGGCCTAAAATAACACAAATTTGTTTGCCTGACTCTGGAGGTCAGAGTTTAAATTCAAGGTATCTGCAGGCATGCATTCCATTTGGAGACATTAAAAGAAAATGTGTTTTCTGGCCTTTCCCAGATTCTCAAAGTTGCCGCCATTCCTTAATCTGTGGCCCCTTCCTCCATCTTCCAGGTTGACAGCCCACCAACTCTGGCTTCTCTCTCTGGTTTCCCTCTTACTTACTCGAGTAAGTATATCAAAAGTCCGGGGATAATCCAGGATCCTAGCTCAAGATTCTTACCTTAATGCATCTGCAAAATCCCTTTCCCATGTAGGGTAACATATTCCCAGGTTCTGGGGAGAGGACAAAGATATCTTTTGGGGCCACTATTCTGCCTTCCACACTAATAATGCTTATTCTTGGGTGAGGAAGTTAGGGAGATTTTTATTTTATCTTCTTTTTCTAAGGTCAATAATTGAGTATTTTCTAAAAAGGGAGTTGCTAGTAGAGTGGCAAAATGTTCTAAAAACTGGACATGGGTGATGGGTGCAAAGCTTCATTATGTTGATTAACCATTATGTTGATTAAAAGTCATGACATGTTTTACTTAAAATAGCTCAAATTTGTGGTACACATTTTTTTTTAAAGATTTATTTATTTATACAGAACTGGGGTTTAGGCCAGAGATGCAGAGGGTGAGAGGATCCACCAGAAACAGAGTGGGGTACAGAACAGGCAGATCGAAGAAGTATACTGCTGAGGGGAGCAGCAGGCGATTCAGGAGAGGTCTGCCTCGCCATGTGGATCACCTCTGGGACAGGCGGGAATCGAACTCATGAGGAAGTGGTTTAAGCTTCTTTGTGCTGTGCTTTAACCGGCTGCGCCACCAGGGAAGGCCCTGTGGTATATAATTTTATCTCAACAAAGTTATTACAATCTGAAAACAGTGGGTATGTGACTAAATGACTCAACAATAAACCAAAATTTAATTTATACAGAGAAAATAATTAAAGCAAGATGTTAACAACTGGTGAATTAAGTGGAGTTCATTGTACAGTTATTTCACTTTTGGTGTATGTTTAAAATTTTCAAGAGGGGGGCCCTCCCTGGTGGCACAGCGGGTTACGGCACAGCACCAGGAAGCTAAAGCCACTTTAGCAGGAGTTTGATCCCTGCCCCAGAGGTGACCCACATGGTGTGGCAGACCTCTCCTGACCTGCCCGCTGCTCCCCTCAACAGTGTACTTCATTGATCTTCCTGTTCTGCTCCCTACTCTGTCTCTGGTGAATCCTCTCACTGCCCCTACACCTCTGGCCTGTACCCCAGTTCTGTATGCATGAATAAATAAATCTTTAAAAAAAATTTTTTTTCATGAGGAACAGAAGAAATAACAAGTCTCTTTAGAAACCAAAGCTATTGGGTCATTTGTGCGTTCAACTGAACTTCAACATTCTGACTCTCGAGACACCCCGGTGCCAAGTAACACGGAAGCAGCGAGTTAGAGCTGCTAAGTTTAACCTCAGGAAGGCAAATTGCTGACTCACCTCTTCCTTCCTCTCCATAGCCCAGGTGAGGGGGAACCACAATCCTCCGCTTCTCTCCGATGCAAACACCAAGTAAACCTTCATCCATTCCGGCAATCACATAGCCCTGCCCAATGTACGTGTCAAAGGTGCGGTTTCGAGAGTAGCTAGAGAAGGAGAAAGAGAAGGATGAAGAATCACCATAACAGCCAGGTACATTAGTTAGCTCCACAAGCCAAAAGAACGCAGAGAGGCCTCCAGACCCAGGACACTGTGAATCTGAGGACGCAACCAGGAAACATGTCCCCCTGGGATGGAGGGTAAGAATACGACATGGGGTGAGAGCAGCGCCCACAGAAACAGACCTGGAGAGAATCCCTCCAGCCTTCAGGTTAAGAACAAGCACATGGTGAGGAAAAGCAGCCACACACAACTGTGGCTCCTGCAAACTGGTCCACACCACATTTGTTCATGAGGATCAAGGGGGCCCTGATTAGAAACTCTGGGTGTATCACAAGGAGAGCATCTCCAGCATCTAAAGAAATCATCTGTACATATGGGACAAGAACATACTGGGAGCAGTTTAACTCTGTTGGAGTGAACATTCCCGGCAGTAATCTCTGCTCACCAAACTACCTTCTGCTGAGTACTTGGGTTGCCCAAGTGCCTCTGGCAGGACACCCAAACATTCCACTCCGTAGACAGATCCAACCTCTGTTCAAATTGCCAGTTGAGTCTGATTACTTTGGTGAAAACAAGAATCAATTCCCAAAGTTAGGGGAAAAAAAAAAAAAAAAACACGGTTTGCCACGTCTACTACCAAACTCTTAATCACACTGATCTGCACTCATCACCGTCTCCACCCAGTGCAGATGTGGCAAAAGTGGTCCTGAAATTGTCACTCAGTCCTACCACTGCCTCCTCCAACACAGCCAATAGCCTCAGAAAAAATGGCCAGTAGAGGGGGCCCGGGAGGCAAAAGCTGGGAGGGCCTCTCCCCAGCACCCCTCAGAGAATACAGAGCCAAGGGGCATAAAGGAATGGTAATAACAGATGATCCTCCTCATCCAGAAAGCAGATTATCTGCATAAACCCTTCCAGGAGGCTGTGGAAAAATGACTCGTCCCTAAATTAACGAGAGCAGCCCCACCCTCCACCAGTCCTCATGCTCTCAAGAGGCCAAGGAGGCCAGGAGGGGATCACAGAAGTAAAGGAAGGACAGACTTAGCCTCTAGAGTTCTCTAGTCCTGAGTCAGCCTTCTACCCTCCCCAGGTCACTGCAACTCTGGCAGGTACTTGTTGGTCACCACAGAGTGTCGGTCTTTGCTAGGCATTTGGGAAAGAGGGCACTTTTTTTTTTTTTATTTTTTTTTAACTTGGGCTTCGGGCCGTTTGAAGTTATTTTTTTTTCCCGCTCCTGAATGGTTTGGTAAAATATAGTTAATTTAAAAATGTGTTTCTACTATATAAGTCATAGAACTTCAATAAGAAAAGGGCTTCAGGACCCTCCCTGGTGGCACAATGGGTTAAAGCGCAGCATTATGAAGTTGGCCACAGCTGCTTCAGTGCGTTCCATCACTGCCCTGGAGGTGACCCACATGGCGCAGCAGACCTCTCCTGTCTTGCCTGCTGCCCTCAGCAGTGTACTTTGTCAATCTGCCTGTTCTGCTACCCACTCTGCTGCTGGTGAATCCTCTCACCGCCTCTGAACCTCTCTGCTCTATAGCCTGGTTCTGTTTCTGTGTGCATAAATAAATAAATAAATCTTTTTAAAAAGGGTGGGGGGGGACTTCAGATAATATCTTATTCTCAGATTACATTTATCTTACTCTATGTATTTTATGAAATTAATTTGTTGGGCTTTTTTTCATACATACATTATTGTTCATTTTTGCACAGTAATTGGTTTTTCCCGTCAGATGCAGCCCCCATCATTCTCCCACCACCATATCACCTGTGAACTATCACCACAGTCTCTTGTGTTCTTGGAAAGAGGATTTGTGAGATGGACTTTCACCCACTGGAGAGAGGCAGGTGCATTGCAGCAGGGAAGAGCCACCTGGTGGAATAGTCAGCAAAGGCGCAGGGCTATGGAAAAGAGAGGACACAGGGATTTGGGACTGGAGTGGGGGGGTCAAGGCCAAGAAACAGGAGAACCCACAGAAGAAGAGCTGGGGAAGGGTGGGTCTGATGTGTAGAGAACTTTGAATAGTAAAGAAGACTTAAATAAGTGGGAAACAACTATGTTCCTGTGAAAGAAAATCAGCAGTTTGGACACAGGAATATACAACCTGTAAAAGTTCTGATCGACTTCAGAATATCAGAGAGGCCAGTGAGACACGCTCTGCAGGCTGTGCTCGCCAGCACCCAGCAGCCCTGTGGCCCTGAGAGAAGGGAGGCCGGAGGCTTGGGAGAGACAGCCCCACGAGTCCAGACAATGACACTTCTCATAACATGATTGTTTTTTTCAGTCAACATTCCCCCAAGGGAAAAACTGAGAATTGTAATTTTGTCAATGCTCTCCCAATGTAATTTATGAATTCTGAAAACAATTCCAATGAAATCCAAGTGGTGTATATGGGGGAGGAGAGAGATTTTAAAATTCATTTGGAAAAACAAACCACTATGAACAATGTCTCGAAGGTGTAAGAGATAACAAGTTCTTATTCATGTAAAAACTGTAAATGGAGCAATATATATGAATGTATGTATTTCACTGTATGTGTAAGCAAGACCCATGACATTAATAATACTGGTTACCTGTGAAGAAAGGAACTAGGTGATAAGGATAGGAGGAAAAGTTTTCATTTTATTTCGCTATGCTTTTAAAAGTTTGAACTATGTCAATGTATCACTTAGTTTAAAAAAAAAAAAAATAGCTCCTACCATACAAACTCAAAAACATCAATAGCTAAAGGGCTAAAGGTGTGATTCTGGTCCAGGAATAGTTAGGTCAATGGAAAAGGATAAAAATTTTGACAGAAACCCAAAAGTATATATAAGAATCTGGTACATAATAAAAGTTACATTTTAGATGAGAAAGGAAAGATAGAACTATTCAATAAAGGCTGTTGGAAAAGCTAACTAAAACCATCTGGAAAAAAATAAAGTTAGATTCTTACTGTCACACTGAATACCACAATGCATTCCAGATGGAGTAAAGATTTAAACATGAACTCATTTACGAGCAGAGAGACTGTGAAAAGTTATTAATATTTACCCCAGGCTGGTGAGAAAAAAGGAACTGCCTGGAAATTATAGCATTTTATTATACATCTCTACAATATTTCACTTATACAATAATAACACAATACCTTTTAAAATAAAAATTCTAATAAAATATTTTCAAGGATAAAAAAATAAAACCACTAATAGGACCTAAAGAAAAAATAGACAAATATTTATATATTCCAGGGGAAAGAACAGAAGTTTTATTTTATTAGCAAATCATCAAAGACAGACTATAGAAGAGTTTACTAGAAGAGTTTACATAAGACTAAGAAAACAAGAAAGGAGAAGTCGAATGATTTAGCAACATAAAATGTTTATATTTTAATAAGTTAAAATCACAATAACCAAAATTAAATGCAAATAAACAGTATGTTTTCAACAATCAACAGTCATGAGGGCTAGTATTTTTGGTATATAGAGATTGTCAAATCAGTATGAAAAAGACAAATATCAATACCCTCAGTATAAGAAACAGGCAAAAGATATGCACATGAACAAAAGATATCCAAAGAGCCGATAAACAGTTGAAAGAATTCCAACCTCAACAACAGTCTTAAGAAACTCAGATCTATAAGGTTCTCTATAAGTTGATAAGATTACTTTGAAATGACAGCCAGGGTTATTAAGTTTGCAGAGAATGAGGGCACTCTTAGTGATAAGAGTAAAACCTCCTTTGAGGACAAATTAATTATATATATCAAAAGTTTGGTACATTCTTAAGTGGCATGAGTAGTTTGGAAACCACTGAAACTCATGATCCAACATATCTTATGGCCTATTTTAATTTTGAACCATGTACTCACTACTTTTTCCCCAAAGTAATCAAAATAAGATTCTAAGAATAAGAAGAATGAATTATTCATATAAAATACTACCATATAAAAATTCTTCTGTAATGTTTTTGATGACTGAATAAACTAGAATTCTATTACCTCAGAAAGGTAGGTAGATGCTGTCTCCACTTGTTTGCTGTAGAGGAAGCTAAAGGAGCGGTTTCCAAACAACACATGCCACTTAAGTGAGCAAGACATTCCAAACAGCCTACCTACTGTCGCTCAGGCCATCTGCACACCTGCAGGTGAAGCCCGGAGAATGAAACAAAACTGTGAGTAACAACAGGGGATGGGTAATCAGCCTTTGCAGCTTTAGAAAGAGATTAGTGCATCCTTCCAGCCTTCAAAGTCTGCAAACACCTTTATATACTTAAGCTCTTTAATCTGACCATCTCTCTGAGAAAGGTACTGCTAACAAAAAACACATGGTACCCAAAGTCACCAACCTAGAGACCGAAAGCCAGGTCTCCTGGCACCAAGGAAGTTCTCTTGCCATCAGGCTACTTCTCATCTGGGACCCCATAGTTGGGTGTAGATTTGGATAGCCAGGGATAGTATGCAGGGATGGTAGGTTTCTAGGGTGACCCTCTCTGTTTTCCAGCAGACTCATCTTTCACAGCCTGTTCTAATTCCTGTCTCTGAAGGAATTCAATATGAAAAACAAAAAGCCTGTATTGAAGTTGAAAATACTAACCCCAAATCAGCACTAACAGAGCAATGAGACCACAGTCAGCAGGTACCTTAATAAGACCTCGTGAGTGAAGGCTCCAGTAATTTCCTTACCTGGAATCAAAGAAGGTGCCATCCAGAAGTGTGCCATTGTAATGATACCTGAGAAAATCCCCACTTTGACTTCGTCGCTCACAATTTTCAGGTACTACCTTATTCTCGATGGAAATGCTGTCCTTGGGGTTATGGAGGTCCAATAATGCAACATCAAACACCAGAGATGCCTGACCAGGAATGTCTTTCCCTAGAGCGGAATGGAGGAAGATGATAAATTAGGACACCAGACTTAGGAAATACTTTAACTACAACTCAACACCCACTGTGTTGGTGTTACTCATGCCTCAAAGTTTTCATGCCAAGGAAACAAATGTTCACCCACATCTTGGATGGTCCTCATGGAGTCTATCCTGATTCACCAGCAGACCTAAAATAAGCTGGGGGGTTAAGATGAAGTAAACTGGTGTTATTGACATGAGAGGTTACTGTGATCATATTTTGTATGCCCTGGCAAACCAAGGCTCTATGTGGGTGGTTGTGGACCCACAAAGCAAACTCAAATCACAACGCTGTGGTTTCAATTAATGCACAAATGCAAATCACACACTCTTACAGGCACAAATTCCTAGGCTCAGAACTAACAGCCAATTGTTTTAAGAAGCAAAATACAAAATTCAACCTTTTAAGTACATCCAAAACAAAATATAAATAAAACCAAAGTTAGCTAACCGACAAGAAGGGGGGGGGAAATAACACCCACAATCCAAAGTATAAATAGTCCCAGAAGGTAACTGGGGCCCTCCCTGGTGACACAATGGGTAAGGATGCATTACTGCAAGCTAGGAGCAGCCGCAGCTGCTTCAGTGCAAGTTCAATCCCTGGCCCGGAGCTGACCCACATGGCACAGCAGACCTCTCCTGATCCGCCCACTGTTCCCCTCAGCAGTGTACTTCGTCGATCTGCCTGTTCTGTTCCCCACTCTATCTCTAGTGAAACCTCTCACAGCCCTGCACCTCTGGCTTGTACCCCAATTCTGTATGCATAAATAAATAAAAATCTTAAAAAAAAAAAAGTTAACTGACTAACCACCGACCTCAACAGTCTTACTTGCCATTTGTTACACGTTGGACCCTGAAAAGGAGTAGGCCTGGGCAAGTGAGCCAGTCGGCATGCCAAGTCTGTGCTCCTGCCACTAGCTCTTTGGCAGAGCCCACCTCCCTGTCTCTATTCCCTCAGAGGAGTGATGAAATCTGCTGAAATTGGGCTGCTGAGGCAGCTTCTGGAATGCAAGGTGTGGTCAATCGCTGATGTATGGGTGTGGGTGTTATGTGTGATAAAATATTAATCTTTTGCTCTTTTCTGTATCTTTTCATTTAAAGGAAAAAAAACTGAAAAATAACCCCAGGGTTTACCTTTTTATAGCATTATCATGTTCTAATTAAACCTCTGTTTTTTTAATATAACTTCATGGAGCTATAACTCCCAAATCATAAAATTCAACTAAAATTACACTTGGATGGCTGAGCACAATATTAAAATGGATGATATTTAAGAAACAACTATTTCATCTAAACTATTTTATTAAAATACTTAAATAATTATGTATTAAAAATAAATACTACTCCATAGAGTTGGCTAAGTATGTAGTTTTTTAGGTATGTTGTATATATGTGGATGATGTTAAAAGGAACTAGAAACCAAGGTGAATGAACTACACTGGTCAACGATGAGACAATTTGAGCATCAATAAGAGTAACAACATATCTTGGGGGAAGGAAAAATAAGACCTAGCTACAGCAATTGTTTTCAAACTTTATTTTTCTTTTACCAGGGAACTTCCTCCCTATCCCCAATTTTTAAAAGAAACTATCTGCAGATCCCCAGCAAATAAAATGCATAAAAGTAAAGATGGACAGAAAAGAAGGCCGAGCCCATGTACCCAGGGTCCCCTCTCCTCCTGCTCCAGACACCTGTAGGGACAGGAAACCGAGCTCAGGTACCACTGTCAGTAGTCTTTGTCTTACTAAGCAGCATGTCTCCATTCCTTGTCCTGACTACCTATGCTGCTTGCTGTAGTGTTCAGAGATCTCTTTGTCATGTCAGCCTGTCAGTATGATTAAATGTGCCTCGAATTCAAATACTAGTATCTGAGAAATTCTACTTATCAGCAATATTCAGTTTTCCCTCGCAATGAAACTAAAACAGGGCATTGATGACATCAATGTACTTTATTTTTTTATGCATACAGAACTGGTGTACAGGACAGAGGTGCAGGTGCGGTGAGAGGATTCACCAGAGACAGAGTGGGGAGCAGAATAGGCTGACTGATGAAGCACACTGCTGAGGGGAGCAGCGGGCGGATCAGGAGAGGTCTGCCGCGCCATGTGGGTCATCACCGGGCTGGGGCTCGAACTCCTGCTAAAGTGGCTTTAGCTTCTTAGTGCTGTGCTTTAACCCACTGAGCCACCAGGAAGGGCCCATCAATGCACTTTTCTAACATTATATTTTGTATTTGTGCACAGAGCTAATTTCACAGGTAAAACCCAGCAAAGGAGAAAAGGGCAATTCTGCCACTCTGTGCTAAAGTTTTACCTTGATGTCTACAACCTTTAGACTATCGAGCTCACATCTTATTTGTGAAGACAGAAGCTGAAGAGAATGGTGTCCAAGGTCACAGCTGATGAGTCAGTGTCAGAGGGTTTACTTCTGAATACCAACAACCATGAGTGATGAAGAGGTTTCTGTAAGTCACTCATCAGACAGCAGATAATCGAGGCCAGCACTGTCCCATGTAACTTTCCCAATGATGGAAATGCTCCGTACTTTCCCTGTCCAATATCTACCCTCAAGTACTTGAAATGTGACTATGTGCCAAGGAACAGAACTTTAAGTTTTATTAAATTTAAATACAAATAGCCTCAGGCAACTTGTAACTACCAGAACAGACAGGGCAAGTCTAGACCAAATCGTGTGGTGGACTTCCCATGTAAGTTGAACCCATCATTCCAACAGCAACAAAAAGACAGGTGAGGGCAGCTCACCGAATGATAAGGACTTACCATCTCCATCTTCTCCATAGGCCAGGAAGGGGGGGATGGTGATCATACGCTTCTCCCCCACACACATGCCCAACAGCCCTTTGTCCATCCCAGGAATCAGCCAGCCGATTCCCACATACGTGTCATATGTTTTCATGCGGTTATGACTGCAAAAAAACAGAAAGGGGATAAGATCCATACCATGAAGGTGCATCTAACTCAGCCCTTGATGAGGTGTGTGTTAACTCGGAAGTCAGCTAGTGAACCCATCCCCACCCCTGGAGATAGGCGTTTATGGAGCTCTGCTCCCCAACAGAGCAGAAATTCTTAAGTTAAAAAGCATATAGTTAAACGCAGTGATCTCCCAAAATGGGCCTGTTCTTCTACTAGCTAAACACACTGTATTGCAAGGAAAGAGTCCACTGTTCTCCCAACTGGCACCTTGCACCTGCTATTCTGTTTAGTTTCCTTCCATGGGAAAACTCTAAAAATGAGCCCCAAAACACAAGAACCTATTTGGAAGTAAAGCCCTTCACTTAAAGATGAAATCTCAAAATACTACTAATGTAGATTAGCATTGCTCTTAGATTTTCCTAAAACTTTGATTCTGAAACTAGGGAGTGTGAAATATCAACCAAAAGTTGCAAGTGCAGGAGTCGGGACTGGTTAATGCTTAATGTTTTTTCTGGCTTCTCCAAGGGTAGAAAAGGGTGAGACAGAGGATGTCCCTGCTGCTGCCAAGAATATTACCTTGAGTCGAACAACGTCCCATCCAAGAACGTTCCGTTGTAGTGGTACCTTACAAAATCTGACACCTGGGTGGTCCGAGGACAACTGAGGGGCTTGAAGTAAGTATGAATCTGAACCTGATCTTCAGAATTCCAAATATCCATCAGGAGTACATCAAAATGAAGCACTGAATTTGGAGGGATCACACCAGCTAGAAATTAAAAAGAGTTTACATTGAGCGCCTACTACCTTTGCAGCTTCAGAAAACATCTGGAATGCAACTGAAATGAAAGCAAAGCAAAAGGGCTCCAGGTATACAATTCCAAAATGAGCCCTCTCTTCCCCCTCCCCTCCAAGTGAAATTGAAAGAGAAAGAAAGTAAAGTTCTCCTCTCAACGGGAATAAATATCCAGTACTTTTGTGGTCATGATACCTTCCCCAAGGAAAAAATAAACCAGAGATAAAAAGCTAGGTCTGTGGGTGTGAGGGGAAACTGGGCAGGGTTTCATTGATTCTCATTTTCCCCAATCTAGAGCTTCCAAAGATACTCTGGTCTACCTGACTGAAAAGCCTGCAAATTTTCTCAAGTGTTCTGACTGTTTCTGTGGATGTGTTCACAAACACAAAACAAACACTTACAAACTCCTTCACTTCCATAGGCAAGATTTGGGGATATCTTCACAAAACGCCTCTCGTTCACACACATCCCGACCAAAGCTTGGTCCATCCCTGCAATCAGTTGTCCTTTTCCCACAAACACGTTGAAAGTGGAGTCTCTGTCATAGCTGAAGACCCAAAAGGTAGGGAGAGAAAAACGAAAATATAAGTAAACCTTCCCTTAGTGAAGCCACCCTGTAAACGTACCCAGGAAAAATGGGAGGTCCCTGCAAATAAAATGCCCACAGAGAAAGTAATGATATTGGACATGTCTTCATCAGCAAAACTTAGAGGACAGACACTTGAAATTACCTTGAATATTGCCAGTAAATATAGTCAAATAAGCATAACCACCATTAGAAAAAATATTGATTTTATTGTTAGGTTTTAAGTTTGTTTTGCAAAATACCTACCAGTTTTTCTGCTGTGGGGGGTGGGGGAGATTGATTGGTAACTAAAAGCAACACTATAGATAACAATGCCAAAGTCAATACAGATAAAGGTATAGAGAGATAAAGATATATCTAAAATCAGAAAGTTAAGCAAGGAGGCAGCATGAAGGGAGCTGAAATGGTCTTTAGCTCATAGCAAAGCAGGAATAATAATAAGAGCCAAACCAAGAACTGTGTGGTAAACAACCAAGAAAGTGCTCTGAAAGCCCAAGGGCTGTCCCACTAATACAATTATTACAGGTAACAGAGTCTGATGTAGTCTTCAAATCACTGGCATATGTGTTTTACAGACTGACTGATGATGGTGTTAGGTTAGAAGATAATTAGTAGAGGGCCTCCCTGCTGGTGCAAGCAGTTACGTTTCAGTGCTGTGAAGCTATCGGGGCAGTCAATACAGCATGAGTTCGATCCCACATGGTGCAGCAGATCTCTCCTGCCTGGCCGGCTGCTGCCCTCAGCAGTGTACTTCAGTCAGCCTGACTTTTCTGCTCCCCACTCTGTCTCTGGTGAAGCCTCTCACACCTCTGGCCTACAACCTGCACCCCTGGCCTACAACCCAACTTTTATATGCAAAGCATGGACTCTGCCTATGCACACCTTATAAAGTAGCAGAGGCCGCTACGGAGTTTCAGTGCTTGGTTTATTAGAATGAACACTCAAACAACTTAGAAATCCAAAGATGTGGCACTGACTGTATCTAGACAAAGACATACAATAAAATCCACCTTGGTCCTTATAAATAATCGATTTCACTTCACTGGCATGGAAGGATAAGCACATTGAGAGAAAACCACAGGTTACAGAGCCACAGCATAAAAGCATTCCATTTTGAATTTACATATATAGATTCATATGAAAAAAATCCAACAGGTAATATATAAAAATATTATCAATTAGAAGCTATGGGTAGGAGAGTTCAGGTGATATAATTTTGTTCTCTTTAATTCTCTGAATTTTCAAAATGACCGTGGAATATTTGTGTACTAAACGTTGCCAACTACAGGAGAAGCGTCTGCCTTTCCCTTGGTATATTAAGTCCACTTTTTCCTCATTTTGCTATTGAACAGCTCAGGGGAGCAGCACCGTCCACCTTGCTACCCGTCAGACCAGCTCCCTCTGACCTGCCCCCACTTCCCTTTCTCCTCCTAGTTTTACAGTCCATTTTAATAGCCTTCCTTTCTCCAAGAGCAGAGAACTGAAGGCTAGATTTCAAGTGCAGGCCAGCAAGCCAAAGGACAAAAGCACATGGCCAGCGCTGTGCCCAGACAGCTTTACACCTCCACCCTCTATGTCCAAGGCACGGAGCCTGACTCCTGGAGTGCCAGCTCCTGAATTTCACCTGGCTGGGGCCCAGCCCTGAACCATCATCTAAGTGGCAGGTTTATATTAGAAATGGACCAGAACTCAAGGCTTCAATTACTCCCCAGATACAGAACATACACAAACAGTAGCAATGGACAATTTGCAAGCTATTTCCTAAGTATGTTTTCTTAATTTATTTTTCATATATCTATTCACATTATTATTCCAGCAGCAATAGACAATTTGTGAGCTATTTCCTAAGTATGTTTATTTATTTTTCATATATCTAGTTACATTATTGTTCATTTTATAACAATGTTTACTTCCCCCTCCCCCTCCTGTCATCACCATAGCCCCCCACATTTCTCCCTCCCTCCTTCTGAGCCCTCTCTGTCCCTCTCTCCTGTAGGATCTCTCTGGTTTTTACTTGTCTGTTTGCTTTTGTATTGTTTTGTTGCGTTTTGTATTGTAATAAAAAAAAAAAACACTTTTTCCCCCTTTCTTATTTGGTTCTCTTAAATTCCTCCTTTAAGTGAAACCATTCAATATTTTTTTTTTCCTTTTGACTTATTTCACTGAGTATGATCCCTTCCAGCTCATTCCACATTGTGAGTTTATCTTTCTTGATTGCTGTATAGTATTACATTGTATGTGTGTATACACACACACACACACACACACACACACACCACATCTTCTTGATCCAGCCATCTAGTTTTGTGTATTTAGGTTGTTTCCAGGATTTATCTATTGTAAGTAGTGCTTGGATAAACATAAGGGTGCATATATCTTTTGTTTTTGCATCCTTTGGGTAGATTTTTTTCATGCACAGAACCTGAATGTAGTTCTCGAATTTAACAGATATTTTTAATAACCATTACTATTTAGAGGTTCTGTTATTATGTGTGAAGCACAGTAGCAAACTAAGCTTTCCTATATACTACCTCATTTCCTCAGCATATAACACTTAAAGATGGGTGCTGGTACTCAGGGTCCTTGGGGGTGAAAAGTTTCTTAGGCTCACAACGTTAGACAAGTGGGGAAAAAAGACTAACTAGGATCACCTGATCTGGGGCAGATGGACTCTTAGCGTACAGATACAGAGACTCCCTAGATGGTGTACAAAACTGCTGTTGCATTGTGGTATTAATTTCTTCATTTGATGACTGCCTAAGTAAAATGCTAAGAAAAACATCTTTCTTAAAGAAAAAATGTATTATTTACATACATAAGAAACTAACAACCCAAGACCAGTCTTGTCTACTGTTTAAAACTCTCACCATCTGGAAAAATAAAGTCAAACTGAGCAAATTTGTACTGATCAGCACAACTGGCACAAATTTATGTGCAGCCCCAAGCCCAGGACTAATTATTTCTGCAGGCTCTAGAATAAGTGCTTATACAGTCTTGTCTCAGTATCTGGTTGATTTGCATTTTTTTTACAGATATCCCAGGTAAAGTCCTACAGGTAACAGGAGACATCCAAACTAGACAATTTCAGGAAAATTTAATAAAGCCACTGTGAGCAAAGGCGTGTGCTGGGTGCCGAGAAAAACAAGGGAATACATAGTAACTCTGAGGACAGTAGGGGCGTTCTTGTCACATCTGAGCCCGAAGCATCCAGGTACCAATTAGCCAAGGGCATCTGACAGGAGCAGGAGCCTCTGGTCTAGAAACACAATCCATGATGACGCTACAGACAGAGAGCAAGGGGAATAAATATATCTTCAGCTCCCTCTCCTCTCTGCCTCTGATCTCCTGATGTTCCATTTCCAAAACCCAGGCACAGAGTCTACTACAGGTCATAAGAAACCATTGGAACTGACTGAACCCAAAAAGACAAAAAGAAAAACCACCGAGCACATCTAGCACCTCCTTTCCTCTCCACCAGCTTATCCCCACTCCCTGCTCATACATTCAGGGCCGCAGACCTCCAAGCACTTCTACCTTCCCCTGTCCCAAAGGTGTGATGGGACAGCAGCCCCTCCCGGCTTTCAAGATTGTCAGCCCAGGGACCACTGAGAGAGGAGACATCGTATAAAACGCATCATACTCAGCTTGTTACTGCCTGAGCCTGCATGCACATTACTTGACAGCATATGCCTCAAGATAAATAACTACCCTTGAAACTGTTCTTAAAACATAATACGATGGCTCTATTTCTACATGTAGGGTTTCAGTATGAACTTTTAAATGCACATACGGGAAATTAAAAACATTTCATTACATACACTAAGGCGGCAATACTTGATGGAGGTATCCCACCATTACCTCCATTAAAAATAAAGAAAACCAAAGTTTCAATTTAGAAAATCATTCCATTACAAAGGGAAGAGAAAATTGCCCAGTAGTTAGAACTAAAACCCTGATAAGCTATAGAAGGAAAAGGGAGATCTCTTGAAATGCCAATTTTAGATTCAGTTTGGAGAAGTAAAAATAGTATACTTCCACCTCCCCATCTTTAATGCCGTATAAATGGCAAATAAAAATTATGACTACTTAAGATATACAACTTGATGTATTCAATATGAACCAACACTTGGGATATGAGCAATGAGCATAACCATCACCTCACATAGTTACTGTTTCTTTCCTCCCTCCCCCCTTCCTCCTTTGTTCTTTCCTGGTGAGAACAGTTGCAATCTTGCCTCTTAATGAATTTTATGTACAAAATACAGTATTGTTCGCTGTATTTCACATTGCTGTACATAAAACTAAATAGCTCCTTTTGAACGTTATAAAGGGACGGCCATATTTTGAGAAGTTTATACCAGAAGAGAAGCGAGGTAATAGCAGCACCCCGGATATGGAACCATGTTTTTTGAATGTTCAAAATTGGTACCATCTAGGACCAATTAGGGGCTAGAGCACATGGCACCTGACTGACTGTGGTCCTCACAAAGCCCTTGGTGTAAGTGAAGGATGGCAGAAGATTATGAGAGCTTTGGATGTAGGATTGCTACAGTGACCACACCTGAAAGAGGTAATTCTATACAGTCAAAACACTACCAAGGGGCCCTACCTGGTGGCACAAGTTAAAGCACACCACTATGAAGCTTATCTGCAGCCACAACAGCATGAGTTCGATCTCTAGCCAGGGAGGTGACTCACATGGCACAGCAGACCGCTCCTGACTTGCCCACTGCTCCCTTCAGCAGTGTACTTCAGTAGATCTACCTGTTGTGTTCCCCACTCTGTCACTGGTAAATCCTCTCACCCCCCCCCCACCTCTAGCCTGTACCCCAGTTCTTGTATGCATAAATAAATAAATCTCTTTAAAAAAAACACTAACAAGGATGTAAAACAATGATACTTCAGTCACAACAAATAAATTTTTAAATTATAATAATATAATCAAACTATGAACTATAAAG